TGTCGCGGTGAGGTGCGGTTCAAAGGCGAATTCCGTAATTGCAAAAGTGTGAAAATGGGTTTCAACGTAAAGTTGAACGCGTAAGTTGGCTCGGCAGGGTAAAAGAACGCAAAATGAACTGCCGCAAACACTGAAATGAGTGCTTCTATTTTCTAGACGGCTCTGGTAGATAGTGCAATAGACAGTGAAGGACGAGTCGAAGAAGGAGATCTGGAGAAGGGGAAGCATCAGAACTAGCAGAGCAGCCATCAGGAGATACGCAGAGTTCGTACTGTGCAAGGCATATGCCCCTAATGCCCAAATCTCACAAAATTAGCCCTACCTTTTTAACTGCGGACCCAGCTATCACATTCCCGAGAGGGTTTATTTTACTAATCTAAACTAGTCGCAGCATCCGCCCTTAAATTCAATTGTTCTTCTTTGCAGATATGGTGGTTATCTACTAAAAATAAACATCATAAAAACACCTGGCGACGTATTCATCGTGGTGATGTCTATACTTCTTGGTGCCTACTTTCTGGGGCTGATCTCGCCACACTTAATGGTTCTGCTTAATGCAAGAGTCGCTGCTGCTACTATCTATCAGACTATTGATCGAGTGAGAAATGAATATGTAGCCGTTTCTCAGAAACCCTTCATAAATTTTATGTGTAGGTACCAAAGATAGACGTCTACTCACAAGTGGGTCGAAAACCAGATCAAGTCAAAGGTCGCGTGGTGTTTGAAAACGTGCACTTCAGGTACCCGAGCCGAAAGGAAGTCAAGGTACGTTTTCTGTATGACTCTGAACACTTCGCATTCTACACACTAAATCTTCAAAACAACCAGCAAGTCAACCCAGTATCTATTATTTGCTTCAGGTACTGGACAATCTTAATCTCGTCGTTGAACCAGGTCAGACAGTGGCTTTAGTTGGTCATTCTGGATGTGGTAAATCGACGTCAGTTGGTCTACTTACTCGCCTCTATGAGCCTGAATCTGGACGCGTAACTCTCGACGGTGATGACGTACGGGAGCTGAACATTGAATGGTTACGGAATGCCATCGGAATAGTGCAGCAGGTAAGAGACGCCTAACGAGGTATCCCAAACATACGAGAAATAATAGCAGTTGAGGGTCTTTGCAGTGCTGTAGAATTCACATTATTATAATAGTTTACTATTAATTGCATTAACACTTGACGACAGCGTGATACATTATGGTGCCACGCCCCGGTTCTTCATGTCCCGAATGCGAAACTCCCTTCCAAATTGCCTATAACTATTTAGTCGTTACACGCCCAAATTGGAATTTGTACGAACAACTACGGGTAAAAAATAGTTCGGCAGTTTTTGCTTATCTCTGGTTCCCAGTTTTTTTTTCTACTTCTCGACCGCGCTAACAAATCGTAGGTACCAAAGATAGACGTCTACTCACAAGTGGGTCGAAAACCAGATCAAGTCAAAGGTCGCGTGGTGTTTGAAAACGTGCACTTCAGGTACCCGAGCCGAAAGGAAGTCAAGGTACGTTTTCTGTATGACTCTGAACACTTCGCATTCTACACACTAAATCTTCAAAACAACCAGCAAGTCAACCCAGTATCTATTATTTGCTTCAGGTACTGGACAATCTTAATCTCGTCGTTGAACCAGGTCAGACAGTGGCTTTAGTTGGTCATTCTGGATGTGGTAAATCGACGTCAGTTGGTCTACTTACTCGCCTCTATGAGCCTGAATCTGGACGCGTAACTCTCGACGGTGATGACGTACGGGAGCTGAACATTGAATGGTTACGGAATGCCATCGGAATAGTGCAGCAGGTAAGAGACGCCTAACGAGGTATCCCAAACATACGAGAAATAATAGCAGTTGAGGGTCTTTGCAGTGCTGTAGAATTCACATTATTAGTTTACTGTTAATATTGCATTAACACCTTGACGACAGCGTGATACATTATGGTGCCACGCCCCGGTTCTTCATGTCCCGAATGCGAAACTCCCTTCCAAATTGCCTATAACTATTTAGTCGTTACACGCCCAAATTGGAATTTGTACGAACAACTACGGGTAAAAAATAGTTCGGCAGTTTTTGCTTATCTCTGGTTCCCAGTTTTTTTTTCTACCTTCTCGTCCGCGCTAACAAAACTCCGCTTGTACCACGCGACCAAAAAACAAAATGCGCGCCGTCGTCAAAGTGCTAATGTCAGCAGACAATATTATTAATATCACTAGTAACTTTCTATCTATTTTTCAATCATTATTATATTGACTCTTATGATATCAATATTTATGCCATTGGGTGGAGTGTTAGAGCGAAGTAGGTCCAGAGGAACATCCAGAACATTCATTTCAGAAGTCCCGACATAGTGGTAGTATGTTTCCGTGATTCATGATATCTAATAACCTTTCCGGATCGCTATGTTACTTCGACTCCTATCTGGATTCGGTAGTGATTGAAACTGGTGTACTGCCAATTGGCGCTGCATACCACGCAAGCAATCCGGGGACCAAATCCTAAATACGTCACCCTGGCCTCTCTTTTTTTCCTCTCCCTTTTTCGAAGCTTCTGCAGTTCACACCAGATTTTCTAGAAGGATAAGAACACTAATTGTACATTGGTTGGCTCCCGCAACCCATCATATAGGCGAAGTCTCCTTCCAAACGCCACCACAATTCCGAATGGAAGCCAAATGATTGGCGCATCCCGACAAGGGATTGACTCACCCGAGCGCTTTCTTCTTATCATCCTTTATCTCGCTTCAACATGAAAGTATTCCATTTCGCGGTTCGAAGCGCATCCCAGTATTATTGAATGGAAAATACCCACAAAAGCCGCATACATGAGCAAAAGCACTTGTTGTAATGGCGAACTGTACAGTAGCAGTCAAAAGTTTTGTACATTTATCATATCTTTGCTCTCCGATAGGCCTGTAAGCAATAAGGATGCCGCGAATTGACAAGTTACATATAAGAATCAAGTGAGTAGAATTGACGATGGGGCTACAATTTGAGTCTTGAAAACTGTATCCGCATTGAAAAATATTGGATTATGTTATAAGAAATGTAGCACGTTTTTCAAAAGTTTATGCGAACTTCTCGCGATTCCCGGAGCGAATGCGGCAAAATACGCACCCACGTCGAATTTACATGATAAATTAGTTACTCTAAGCTAGAGTCAACCGTTAATTTCTAATCGTCAGCGATCGTTTTATTAGTAATTGGACGTTTCCGTTATGAAAAATAAAAATATATGAGGACTTTTTTCGAGCCCTGCACAGTGTGAGTTTTAAAATTACATTGATTAGAGCTGTGCGATTATTAAACTGAAACTGGGGTTGAGCGACATGGCCAGTTCTTTCCCGTAGGATGATGGAACGGAATGTAGAATTCCACCGACTCAAGGTTCTTTGAACTGGTCATTCTGTACCAGCTTCTTTTTTGGGTTTAGCGTAAGGGCGGGATCTCGTGAGACCTGGCAGGCCTGCCACTGGGTCATTTGCACACGATGGAAAACGCCTCTTTCCGGCTAGTTCTGACTATCGAAGAAAAGCATTGTATTCTACAGACTATACTTGTACTTAGCCCAACCCACATTTCGCTGGATACCTAGAACTGGGGAATCGCCGAATGGCCGGACACACCTTCATCCATGACAACACTTCCGCTATTTCTGACTGTTGGAATCTTGTGCTCCAAATGAGGTTTCCACTTGACAAAACACTTCACAGGGTCTACTAACATCATTTCTAGGAAGATAGAAATCCCATTCGTAGCTGAGGACAAAGTTTCACCTCTCGCCTTCGGTCCATGTTAGCCATTAGTGTGCGGAAGCCAGTTGGGCCATCCTGCTCTCGAAGCCCAACAATGGCTTCTTGCTGGGATAACATCCGTAATTTCATCAGGTCGCGGCCGATGTTGTGCTACACTTGGACTTCAATATGATTAGAGGAAAACTGGAAAAAGTTGTCTCTCACTTGGGAATGTCGGGGGCACGGGACGTGCCAACCACCCTCCGAAGTATTTGAGGAGGGCCAATTTTCTTGTGGATACTTTTTTGTGAATGATCATTCTTCTTACGCTTGCTCGACTCCACAAACGCCAGAAACATTCGATGCTATTGCTTACGTAGAGACTGAATTACTAAGAAACAATTTCAAATTTCGTATTCAGGATTGTAGGGTTTAAAAAAGGGAAAACTGCTTCCTTTGCATATGAATTCATTTTGAAATTACACATTGCTCAATGGTTTAACTAAAATTAACAGAAACAAGTGAACATTGAAGAGTAGGAATCATAATGATAGGGAAACAAAAAGTTTCCAAACTTTTGACGCGCCATTTCTTGAAAGAAATCTTATTCTCAAAAATGATTATACATTTTCGGATTTTAGTCTTTCCGCCATATTCTAGACTTGATTTTGTATGTAATATCTAAATTTGAGATAATTTCGTTATGTGGTGTCGACCGCGCTAGATCAAAAATAAAAAAGTTTCCAAAACTTTTGACCGCTACTGTATTTCAGAAAGACTACCGTCCTTTCCATCCGTAGAGCCTGTATGCAAGCAGGGCTTCAATCCTCTAAGGAATATAGGTGTCATTTAAAATTTTCAGTAGGGACGGATAGGGGCTCACCCTGTGGGGAATTCCATACATGAACCATCAGTGTCACTATACTGCGCCTTCTGTCCATTAGAAACAGGGTGCATGCGTGAATATATATTAAGATCTATTATTTGTATGGACGGCTGGATTCTGGTCGAGGTAGAGCAAATACGGCCGTTGATCGAAATTTGACAGGCTTCATTTGAATACTTTTCTTCCAGGAACCATGTCTATTCAATGACACAGTTGAAGGAAATCTTAAAATCGGTAATCCGCATATTTCCATGGAGCAAATCGTGTACGTGTGCAAAATGGCAAACGCGCATGATTTCATCATGAAACTGCCTAAGGTTAGTTTGGAAGCAAGGAAAGCGAGGTTATATCATCATGCGCAGCCATGCGAGCTCCTGCATCCTCTTTCCCCGATGTTGAAGGGTATCAACAGCATCGTGGAACCTGATTACCCGAAACACTATCGAGATTTTTCGGCGCTTATGTCCTTAGAGGACGTGGGGAGGGGAGTGGGAGGGGGAGGGGAGGGCAATGAAAACAGGGCCAGTGGTAGGTGCCATTAGAATCAAGCCCAAGGGAGGGTAGAAACGTCAGGGAGGACATTGGTTGCCTATACCCTGAAACAGGATCTCTTCCCGTCACCAAGGCTTCATCCAAAATGTTATAAGTGGCTCACTCACTTTTACCCCTCCTCCCCCCTTCGCCAACCACATGAGCGCCAATTTTCCAATCAACTTCCAAGAAGATCCCATCATTTATCCCAAGAATACCATGCCACTTCGTCTGAAGCATTTTCTAACTCGTCCAGAGGGTTGGTTGGACTTTCAAGGCCTTCACTGCTGACTCTATTTGTCCCCCAGTGAGGTAGAGGATCGGGAAAAAGCTGCTTGATGGACAGTAGAGGGCATTTCGAATGAATGACTTGGTCTGAGAAAAAAGTGACTTCCAGGCTTATGAGACGTACATTGGTGATGGTGGAGTGCAATTGTCTGGCGGTCAGAAACAGCGCATCGCTATCGCACGGACGCTGGCACGTGATCCAAAGGTAGGTTCGGACAATGAAGCTCAACAAAGGCCTTTTCCACACTGTTGAATTTAGGTTCTTCTTCTGGACGAAGCAACGAGTGCGCTTGACGCTCAAAGTGAAAGCATTGTTCAAGTAAGTGAAGGTAACAGTGGAACTACTTGGTATCATTACCAACAGCAGAATCCTTCAGCTATGAAGCAGAAAGTGCCATTGTGATCACCGCCTTTGAGTGCTCGAAAGTAGAGCCTAAAGACTACTTTCTGCAATCATAGGATATGACCATTAAGCTGCAAAATAGAGGATTACAGTCTGCTCTGAACAACGCCTCTCGTGGCCGCTCAACTATAGTCATCGCTCATCGTTTGTCAACTGTCCGAGACGCCGACAAAATCGTATTTTTCGAAAAAGGACAAATTGCAGAACAAGGAACACATGAACAACTTGTCGCCCTACGGGGAAGGTGAATTTCTTAAATCTGGTCTGCTTATCTTCCGTTTGAACCCTGTTAAAACCCAGACATGTGGACCGATTCAAACACGGCTACTTTCGCAATTATAAATGAGCAATTAATCGCAGGAATTCTTCCAAAATACGTAAAAAAAAATAGCTGTAGAAATTGCTAGCAAAAATATTTGAAGTCGAGTTGCATTGTAGCAGGGTCGGCCCTCACGCAGGGACAAATTTTCAAATCGCATTTTCCCCCTCTAAAACGCTCGGTGGCATCAGTGGTGTGGTTGAATATGCTACAATATCCCAACTCATGGAGTGCATTCCCCCTTCCCCACAACTCATCACGTTCATCAAGCGCGAAAGGGTGGATGGTATGCGAGTCCCAAGACAGAGAATTTTACAAAGGTCACAAATGGGAGCCTTGCTCACCAATCCTCCCGGTAACACTAAACCCTCCCAATTACCGAGTACGATCCCCTTATCCCAAAGCACGGTTCATCCCCCCACCAAGTATTTATCCAACCTCCCAACGTCTGGGTGGGCGTGTCTACGTACTTCTCGATAAACACACTACAGCATAGACATCGCGAGTTGTTTTCAGCTTTTTTTGCTGTTTCTTTCACCCCATGAGGTTCCATTGTAAAGAGGTAAGCCCTTTGAAGTAAAAATAACGTTCTTGGTCAAGCATACTGCATAACTATTCATTTTGCTAGTCTCGATTGTACGCGAGGCCTAACAGGTCTTTAGACATTCTCCCTCAAGATATGCACCTTACAACAGGAAGACAATTCATAGTTTAACTTATTCCAAGGATTGTTCCGAATCTCTACTCCATTCCACTGCTATTTATTAAGATACTACGAATTGGTGAAGGCACAACAGTTCCAACCTGAAGCAGAAGAAATTGAAGAAGAGGAAATAGATTTAGGGTAAGTATCTCAGCAGCATATATGATAGCTTGAAATAAGAAACCTCCTATTTCAGTGATAGCGATCATCAAACCGGTTCCCAAATGTCACGTAGATCAACAATATCAGAATCCAAAAGGTATATAGAAGATAAGCTGTTTTCAATCCTCTCAAAATTTGTTATTTCAGCATTTTTAATTATTAATGCAAAATCTCCCAATTTCCCAGGATTGTAGAACATTGAGAAAATATAAAAGTGATACAGTGAATAAATTGAGTGGCACGTCGACTCGGGGGCAAAAAGATGGAAAGTAGAGTATGAGTTACTGTCAGTTTGGAAATTAAAGACAGGTAGGAGTGTAAAGAGCCAAAATGCGCAGTGTTCCATGGGTTGAATGGTTGGTAGAACAAATGAGAAGAAGCATGCACAGCGGCCAATGATGGAGAAAATTTCTTGTATTGTTTCTGATTGTCAGCTGCTGTTTCTGGCCGTAGATCGCCTCGCCAAATTTTCACAACAAAGCTTGGTAGTGAACAAAACTTTTGCCCAGGCGAGACTCGAACCCGCACCTCCCCTACGATCAAGTGCTTTACATATTGTGCTACCGGGGCACCATACACCTAACTCATAAGTTATTTCAAGATCTGGTTACGATGCCTTCGTCCGTGGCCAATCGATTAACGATTCTTTCGGTCGACAGTCCTACAATGCCGAAGCAGATGCAGAAAACGAAGCAATTGCTCTGGAAGTGAAGAAAGTGATGGATGAGGTCTGCATTCCTAGCTTATTTCCCAATCTCGTCTTACTGTTTATGAGTAACATTCACTCTATTCATTTATTTTATTGGCTTCCTATCATTTTCCGTGAACGGTTTGCCCCGTGAATTCGGTAATCACTTAGAGTGAGTGCGGTGACTTCGGAGCGGAGCTGGTTAGACGTCATTGGTGAAAACGCACTGAGAGGTGTGGTGGTAACGCCTCCCAACAGTCCTCGCACCAATCGCGTCTCAGTAGTAGCTCCGCCCCCCCCCCCGCCGTTGTATTCATGCCTGTAAAAGATTTTTACTCGCAGTTCAAAAAAGCTGCCTAGAAAGTTCACAGTATCTTCGATTTATCCTACCCCTCTATGAAAAACTTTTCTGATTTCTTCCAGGACGGCGTCATCAGTGCTGGATACTACGACATTTATAAGAATGCCAAAGGCAACTATCACTGGATATTTCTCGGCTTTGTTACGGCCGTGTTTCGTGGTTTGGAGCTCCCAGCCCTGGCACTTATTTTCGGCTACGTCTTCGAGGCTTTCACATTCGTTCCATTCGGTGCCGATATGATGCACAGGTGAGAGTTGACAAACTCGTCTACTATGAGGGCAGAAAGAATCTCAGATATTCCAGGTTATGCATGGCGGTTATTACGTTCTGTTCCGTCGGTCTTGGAGTCTTAATCTTCCAACTCCTGAGCGTTAGTCTTACAACTATGTACTTTCCACCACTTTAGACGATTCATCCAATAGTTCTGAAGTGAATTTCTGAAGAAGGGGTAGCGCCACGAACCGAACTGGTCATTTGATTTCACCAACCACTGTTCGCAATCTTAAAATAAACCCGAAAAGAACTGTAAGGATGAGGAAGGTTTGCTGCATTAACCGTGAAACCATAGTTTGGAGGGGGAGGGGAGGAGGGGCATTCCCTTCTGTTTCCATTCATTTCTCTCCAATATAAAAGAAAAGAGCGCTCAAAACACGCAAACGATTCGAATTGCACTTTTAATACCGGTGTAGGATGGAAGTACCCCTTAAATGTTTTCACTCAACCTCCAATGCTTGTGGTGAACGATCCTGAATCAGGAGAACGGATATCAGCCTACCAATAAGAAAGGAGGGTGGATGATCAGGTGCAAAAAACTTGGCAAGGTGTGGGTGTGGGATGTAGGGGTTCCCGAGAGGGGCCCGTCGCGCGACGAGAAGGCAGGGATGCAGATGGTTCAGCGGACGAGCCGTAACGCGTGCTGTGTGATGCGGCATGTACTGTCATAATCTCTATTCAACTTGATGCCAAGTCGCTACAGTACGCGCTGCGACTTGTCTGCTGACCTGTCTGCGTCTCTGCCTTCTCGCCACGTAACGGGCCTTCTGTCATACCCTGGATATAAGGTCCTCCCGGTCCTTACCAGAAACGCCTCAAATGATTTGCTTACGTATTATCCAACCCTTAGTGTTAGAGAACTGAAAGGAGTGCTTTTTAATACTATTTATATTAGAGAGCTCTAGGAGTCCATCGCAAACTCCGTTTACAACCAAAACTAAAAGACTATGTCAACTTACTTTTTTAGACTTTCGACTTAGACTAGACTATTTCCTTTTTTATCTTTTTAGTTCAGTATATTTAAATATGAATAACACATAAGGTACCGAGGGAGCCAAAATAGTCGCATTCTCATGACGCATCCCAGCAAAGCCTACGGCGCACAAGGTGACGAATTATATGGACACTATCCCAGCTGGTTTTTCTCAGAGTGACCAAAATATAAACTCACCCGAGCTCCAGAGAATTTGACTCAATGGCTTGGCCGCGAAGCAGCTGTGCAACTTCATCCAATCGACACATGAGGTCGTTCTTGAAGGCCGTGAGCTCATGAGCTGCGCTCACACAATGCCCGTTTGTACGCGTATCGCGCACTGCCATTATGCAAGTGTTGTGTGCTGCAGCCTTCTGAAAGAAAAAAGTAATCCCTGGCTCATACAGTTCTGACTGACAGAACGACCCCTACAGCTCCCGATCAACGAATTTGCTCCGCTTCTACATTCAACGTTAAGCGTCATCAAACTCGTACCAGAACAATTGCACGTATCTGCAAAACGCCCAACTTACCAGGGTCGAATAGCATGTAGAACCTTTAAAGCGTGAACATCTTCAAATGTACCACTGTCCTCTTACTATCTAATGGGCAGAGTTCAGAAAGACTAAATAAAATTGGGATACATATATTTGTTTTGGACATTTGGCGACCATGCAATTACACGGTGCTCCTGAAAATTGTCCTCTCAATGCTGAAATGCTTAATATACGGTGTATAGGGGGGGGGTAGGCAAAAAAAGGCATTTTGCCCAGGTCGCACTTCGACCTTTTTTTCGTAACAGAATTCCGTCATTGATGGGAGTTCCTCAAGCCAAATATCCCGAAATGTCCTCTTAGTCCAGCACGCAGGTCCTCCTTCCTACCCTCACCGTCTTCAAAAATATGACGTCACCTGTCACCGTCGCTATGGTAGCCCTACAGTAACGCTTCAGCCCTGAACTCTTACGTAATTCTTGGATCGAATTCAACGTGGGATAGTTTCCTAGGACATTAGCTTAACTATGCCACTTCTCGGAACCCCGCCCTTCGGAACCCGTCGTAACGCTACACGATCCATTCGAGAACCCCCACCTCAGCACGTTAATATACCCCCGCTCGACGGTAATTTTTTGAGGTAATAATGTTTGAAAAAGGGGTCGTACGAAAACATTTCATGAGGGAGGGGTCGTAAAACTTCTGAAAAGTAGCAACGAACAGGACCGACCCTGGTCCACGTAGCCGGCCACTATGAAGATTTCTTAACGAAATGAAATGCCGCTCTCAATTCTAAGATGGAGCACACGCTTTGAGCTGAGCAAAGGTGATTAAATCTATTTGAAACCGGACAATAAGGTCTTTTTTAATGCACCCCCCCCCCCTGTATAACCAAAATAACTGGACCATCTGCGAAGTCTGTTGAGACTTTCTTTGTCTTCGAACAAACTGCTTAGTGGCCTCGAAATTAAGCAAAATTCTCAACCTGTCAGCCAAGGAGAACTTCGGAACATCCTCGAAAAATTCAATTTTCCTATTCTAAGAGTTAGTAAATGAGGTGAACTCAGATCTCTCTCAGCCAAAAGTTTAAATATTACCCAAACTATTGCAAACGAAATAGACACTTTAGCGCCATCAAAACAAGAAAAAGCCAAAACTTGAAGAAGCACTTTCGGGCTCCTTATGTGAGGAACTCACACAGTAAAAGATGTTGAAGAATATGCGCATCATAAGTACTCCAATGTTCCGGGTTATTATAAACACCGCTAAAAAACTTTGAAAATAGCGGCCAAGGAATTAAATTTAAGGTGTCGCCGCATTCGCAACGTTGTCACAAGTTGTTAAATGGTGTCCTCCCCTGCGAGGCGAAAGATGTTTCTGATGTAATTCATTTCAAAGGCCTCCTTAATTTGTCTTCATCCCTATTACGCTGGGGCATGGGCATTATTTGATGGGAAGGGGTGCGGCTGTATTATTTTGCGATTTTTTGCGTCCTTTGGCCATGTCGTTGTAAAACATAATACATTACAAAACATACATTATTCAAGCTAAATAAAAGTTACTCGAGCGTACATATGGCATGTTAGAACACCTCTCGATTCTTTGCGAAAATGGCTAGCGCAATGTGGATCTTAGAATTATGAAACTGTACAATTTTGAGTATATTTTTTAGCAAGATGAATTAAGTCGTACCATATCAACACGCATAGAAACCTATAGCAAATAAGTCAATACGTTATAGAATGCGAAAATGAGGAAAAAAAATGAACAAGTGTGATGACGCGTCGCACCACCCTGCTTATGATAACTTGCACTTGGCATCAATAAATGATACATGAGATGCAAAACCAGGCGTCGTTCAATGTATCTAAATATCGCTTTGAATAACCTTTAGCGGATGAATTATTTTAGGGCGAGGAAATCTTAGATTAACACATTGAAATTTTGAGACCATTTAATTGTAAATTCGACCAGCAGAAACATAGTATTTACGACATAAGATGTGTTATGCTTTCTGCTTCGCCTTATTTCTTCCCCTATCGACCTCCTGCTGCTGAAATGAATATGTTTAGTTCTAGCTGTCCTAGCAAAAGTAGATAAGCTCTTTAAAAATACATTCTGTGTTTTAGCCTGCACCTAAATGCAGGGTGAACAGAGTAAGCGTCTAAATTCTGGTTACCAGAGCGTGTTTTCTCAATGCGTCTCAGGAGAATTTGGCATGCGATTTCGATACGATCGCTCTAGAAGCTTGCTCCATCAGGTCCTGGTATCTTTTATTCTTCATAAATCGAAATAAACACAACATCCTTGTTTATGATATCAAGGGCTTCATTAATGCGCGACTTTGGTTTATACAGAAATGAGAAATGTCTCATAGACGAATTAACTATATTAACCACTCATCTCAATTATCATGCCTCACAATGAAACAGATGGTCTAGACACTGTGAATCATAGAAGGTACTGGCAGAGAGTTGAGAAACAGACGGACAAATAAGGGAGCTAGCAGAAGATGCGCGAGACAACGTGCCATCAGGCATTGTATAATGAGCCACCAACTGAAGCTTCCGCATAACTTCTGTGCTTGCGAAACTGACTTTAGTCCAATCACTGGAGGATTTGCCCTCAGTGAAGAGTAAGCAAGAGGCGAAACACTACTGCATTGAGCATTCCACAATACAACTGTTTGAATACAAGTTCTGACGGAAATTGAAGGAGAAGACTTTAAGGACGCATCGTACTTCGACAATCTCGGCACACACCCCCGCAAGCTTATCACACTTTGGCTACTGACGCTTCCAATACAAAGCGGTAAGCGACATAACATTTCGTAAGTCATGGTCTATTTATAGGTAGCTTTACAGGTCGTTGATGGTCGTGCGCTTCAAAGTCATACTATGCTGTGACGGCTATAATTGCATGTTTAGTAATCGATTTGTCTACTGCTGGCAGGTAGATTCCGGATACGTACAAATAACACACTTGAATACTGTAAAAAACCGTTTGCCCCAGGTAACGCTGCTCGTATGGGATGTTGTTTCTCCTGCTACGACTATGATATGCTGCACTAACAACATGAAAAAGAACATTGAGAATGTTAAGAATGACGAAGCAGGACGAGTAAGTTCGTTTCTAGTGAGAAAATGAGCCCATTTATTTTATTTATGAACTTACAGGTCAATCATACATCATAAAATGAAAATTAATAGAGCAGTAGACCCACCATGGCACGCGATCATCGATTTTAAACCACTAGGGCACTAGTAGCAGCAGTTATTACTTAGAAGACCAATGATCGCGATGGTTGGAGGTGGTGCCTCTTTGACATGTCATGGAGCGAAGTGTAGACTAGGTCACGCTACGTTTTGTTACTATTAGCCGATCTCTAGTGTGTTTTTTCTAACCGAACAGAGTTCGGACCACCAATATTTTTAATCAAATCCAGTGATTTGAAACGCATATCCATACGAATGACTCAATTAGAACCTTCCCATTTACACAGTATGATTGAAAACCTCGTACGATAAAGTAGGAATTTTGAACGAAAAAGAGAGGTAGTCGAATTTAAATCATCTACAAATCCAATCCCTCTACTGCTACAGTTGGCCTGGACAAAAATATTATACATTTAGTATAAGAGTAGGCTGTCACTGTTTCGGTGGAAAATTTATTACTTACCAGCTCACTGGACATTTTCCCCGGAGTCTTTTTTGCACACACAGGGTCAAAACGCAAGCCCCTTTTTGAGACACCACTGTGAGAGCAGATGAGCACATGTATTAGAATTTCTTGGTCACACTTCGTTAGAGCGTCCTGTAGCAACCATCGAGCAGTAATGCTAGGTGTCCCTACCATTTCCAGCACAAGACCTGGGGCAGCCCCGTTTGACGATTAAGCTAGGCTCACACTTTTGGCGACGTTCGGCATTCCCTTCAAAGACTTAACTGTCTTTTAAGATAAGTGTGAAAAACCGATGAGCATTTTAAATGTAGTATTCCCTCCATCAAGCAATGCTGGTTGGTGGGCGAGGTTACAGCTCTCAGCAAAGAATTTGTGACCATGCATTTGGTACACATGCGAATTTGCACACTGGACCCAGAGAATTTTCAAGAAGAAATATAAAAATTGGGAAAGTAAATTGTACCAACAATAGAAGACGAATCAACATATTCGCATATAATGACAAAAAACGCCGTTCTGGATATTGATTTTCCATATAATGCGGCCCCAAAATCCTGAACTCAGAAAGGGACACTACAATATCCGTACCTTAATAGTAACAGGTCTTAGCCCCTCCCCCCCCCCCCCTCGTACTTGTTTGACTTTGTAGGAGGTAGGGGGTGGGTCGTACCCGTTTCTGTCGCTTGAAATCAATATGGAGTTGGAGGTAAACTGAGTTTTTTATGGGTAGGTGAGGCCTGAGTTCAGTGGCGCAGGAAAAAATTTCCGTTTCAGCGAGGTGTATACTGCACTGCCCCGCTCACACGTATTTTTGGAGGAGGATTGGGCGGGGTTTTGTGATTAGTGGTATCAGAATTTCAATACATAAGAGCGAACTGATAGTGTTCGAGTGTGCTGGAAAAGGGGGTCGCTGTAAATTCACTCTTGGGAGAGAGGTTCGTAAAAAAAAAATTTCAAAAAGTACAACGATAGGGTTGACCCTAGTGGAGAGGCCTAAAGAGGCGGTCCCAACCACAGCCGCAGCGCGCTGACGGTTATAATCCACCAATGGTCGTCAATGACGTCAACAAAATCGCACCGCTTCCGGCCACCGCGATCATTGCCATTGAAGTTAAAATACTAGTGCACTCAGGCCGATGTAAGACTTTGCGAATCAAGGGATTCGCTACCGTCTGCGGTCGCATCGTGGCCAGCAAATCGCTCGATTGGCTGCAACGCGACCGCGAAGGCTAGCGAATTCGCTCGATTCGCAAAGTCTGACATCACCCTTATCCCTTTGCTACACACCTCTCATTGCCCTACCGGGGATTCCTGTTTGAAACTGAGCGCTATCTTGCTCTCGAGTCGTGAAAATTTTTATCGCTTGGTAAGAATTCCATGTAGACTTTGCCTTCAAATAAAGTGTTTTTGGACTTCTTGACAGTGTGCACGACTTTCAGATAGCAATCGAAACAATTGAAAATGTTCGTACGATACAATTGCTCACACGAATGTCCATGTTCTATGGACGATACGAAACAGCCAGTAAACTTCAAAAGCGGTCCGAATTGACAAAAGGTGATTTTTTGCTCACGGATTATGTACGCATATTATTATTTCATATTTGTGCTTATATTTATGAACTTATTGTTCTGTTTAAGGAATCTACGAGGCTTTAAATTTCACAATTTCGCAATCGTTCACTTATATTATGGTCTGTGTTACTTACGCCGTCGGAATCCACATTATTTATACTGAACAAAAGACAGCAGACAACGTTTTCAGGTGAACGTTGCCTCTCCTTGAGCACCAATTATTTTGTCAATACAATACATTATCTATTTTACAGAACAATTATTGCTATGCTCCTCGGGTCAGTAGCTGTGATGAATTCCTCTTCTTACTTCCCTGAGTTCGTCAAAGCACGTACTGCAGCAGGTCTCCTCTTCAATGTGATTTATCGCAAACCAAGAACTGGAGACGTGAACGCCGGCGAGAAAGTAGTGAGTTAATCAACTGTCAAGAGTTTTTTTGCATGCTAATTTTGACGGCATGAATTTGACGAAATGCCATTTCTAAAATGTTGTCCCCCGCCAGCAAGTGAAGTACTGCATTTTTTGTGTAGATGCCTTACATGATGTTGGCCTAAATGTGTGTGATGTGTAGACCATATGGATGCTCCAAAAAATCATTTCTCTTGAAGGTTGTCAGCACATTGCTGAGGTGTGAGTTATTGCGTTCGGAAAGGGAAGTAAATAAAGTATTTGGACGAGTTATATCGATGCCAGCAACCAAGCGCTGAGAACCTTCAAGAGCGATTACTCGTTGATGGCGTGGGCGGGTCTTACCGCTCTCTCTTCGCAATTCATCAGATCACAGCCCTCATGGTTTAGCGGCGTTTGCTCAAAGGTCGGAAGGCGAAGAAGCGACAATGTAGTCGAAAGACGGACCCCTGGGGGTGTGGATCGATGCGTGTTTCTTAGGATGCCGTTAGCGACCTTGCAACGCCCCACCCCCTCGCGTCGCGGCACGCCCACCTCGCCGCCTAACTCTGGCCATTTGCAGAGAGATCCTTAGCGTTCTTATCTTAACGCGTTCTTATCCTACTAAAAATCAACTAATAAGCACTTTCACTTTCAAGCGCAGTGAACCGCGCGGCACCATTGCGGTTGCAGTGGAATACTCGAGATTCATTCTCTGATGAAGAACACCTACATTTCAGACGATTCGCGGGAACGTTCTGTTCGAGGACGTCAAGTTCAGTTATCCTCAACGACCTCGACAGCCGATAATGAGAGGTCTACAATTCTCGGCTCAGCGTGGTCAAACAATAGCGCTGGTCGGACCATCCGGCTCCGGGAAGTCCACCGTCATTTCAATGCTCGAGCGTTTCTATGATTCTACGAGCGGATACGTTGTGAGTTCCGAGCTGTCATGTTCATGAAGCTGTGAACACCGATTTTCAAATTTTGCTAACTATTTCAGCGGTTTGATGGCAAGGATATCAAGACACTGTCGCTTAGCCATCTACGAACGCAAATGGCATTAGTTGGACAGGAGCCGAGGTTGTTCTCAGGCACTATTAGGCAAAACATTTGCTTTGGTTTAGGAGTGGTAAGGCATTATTTTACCTGGTTTACTTTCTTTGTACTGGTGCAGTAAAGAAAACTCCAGTAAAGGAGCATTGTGGTGCACTAGTTAGCCGACTACAGTAGAGTGTAAGGAGGCTCTGGGCTGTGTAAAGGTAAATGCGCAGTGGCTCAGGTGCCTCGGATCTTGCTCCCCTTGCAAAGTTGGGATTACTTTAGGCAGTTCAAACTTACTGCACCACAATATCCCTTTACTGAAAGGACTCCCTATTAATTATTTTTACAACTTTCATTATTAATAATATTACTGATTAAGGTTCCAATGGAGAAAATCGATCAAGCTCTGGAGCTGGCGAACGCGAAGCGCTTCCTTGCTAATTTACCAGCTGGTATAGACACGGAGGTGAGAGCCTCCCCAGCAAAGTTTCGCTTCAGCTATTATTTTTCCGTACAAGTTGAATGACTTGCCAGAATAAACTAAGTTGAGAACCCTTAATGTTTTTCCTGAGGAAAGCGTGCCTACTTAGGCGACCTTACATGTTTTCAGTGTGCCATGTGGCCTTCTCGGGTAATAATAGTGACGGCATGTAGTGGTTGTAGCAATAGAACATTGATATGAATAAGAGCCAATGATTTGTAAAGTATCTGAAATTAGTTTTTCATAAATAATTTTAGCGGAGGGCGAATATAACAACCACTAGAGATTCCCTAAGGCTGGTGTCAGAGTTCGCGATCCGTCGCAAGTTTCGCTCATTTTCGCCATTTGCGCGATTTTTGCGAAACCTGCGACGGATCGCAAAAATTGCAAGTGCCCCATTTGAATATTTGAAACACCGAACATGAAACAAGTGGAATCATGGGCAGTCGTCAGTCAGCCATCACTATCAAGCAGAAGTGGCGGCAAGATTGGAGAACACCTTGCAGTATTGATCGGGCGCTTGTGATTTCCGTGACCCGTCGCGCGAATCGCGTGAATCGCGCAATTCGCAAAAATCAGCGAAACCTGCGACAGATCGCGGACTCTGACACCAGTCCAAAGTGATAACACCGTGACATAGTTTTTGTGGATTGCAATTGGTAAAATGTAACAAAGGACGGCCGAAACGGCGACCAACGCTAGCAAAAGTTTTACAGGAAGCATAGATGCCATAACAAGTCTAGGAATAATTAAAAATTCGAAAAATTGGTGTGAAAGTTGAAGAAATATTTCTTGTCTTTCGGCACTCATTCACATCTTCGGATCCAAGCTGAACACTAGGAATTGCCTTACTATTAAATACGTCAACATCTCCATAAAAGTTTGCTGTTCCAGGTTGGTGAGAAAGGCACGCAACTCTCAGGAGGACAGAAACAACGCATCGCCATAGCGCGTGCGTTGGTTCGAGACCCAAAGATTTTGCTGCTGGACGAGGCCACCAGCGCCCTGGATTCCGAAAGTGAACGAGTAAGTCTAGAAAACATCTCGAAGGTGATCACAATGGAAGGAGGGCGGTGCGGTTTCAATGATGTCATCGTCATTGGAAGAAGGACGTTAATACCCACACCCACATGCCCCGCCTCATAAAATGCTGGGCTATAAAGAAATCGCTCCAGATGGGGTTCAAACCCACACTTCTCGCCTACGGAGCATGTACGCTACGGGGGCATCACTTCACTGTAACTTGGTTTTTCATGGTATATAGCCTATCAGCACTTACACACATGAAGGGGTGAGCCGTTTGTTTGATTTTTGTTTTCAATCAGGGGGATTTGTGAGACTTTCACACCACTTCGTTCTGAAGTTTTACAGTCGCATTCAAGTTCAAACTGTCTTCGTTCAGGCAGTCCAAAAAGCTCTGGACTTGGCTCGAGAAGGTCGTACATGCATCACGATTGCTCATCGACTGTCGTCGATCCAAAATGCAGACCTCATTGTGTATATCGAGAATGGCAAGGTGCGCGAATCCGGCACACATTCACAACTGATGCAACGTCGTGGCTGCTACTATCAAATGATCAAGAAGCAGGATCTTGCGGCGTAGCGAGCCAAGTGTACCTAATTTCCGCACGAAAAACATGCTTGAACAATTCCAGGGCCTTTCTTGCGTGTACACGAGTATTGTTTTCCATTATGTTGACAAACAGTCAATTGAATCAATTGTTTGGTCTGCACTCTTGTTTCGTTTGATAGCGCCAATGTATTCAATAACTTTGTAAACAAATGTTATACTGTTAGTAGTACTGCCAATAAATTCAAAGTAAATTCTAGTTATAATACCTTCTCCTAAAAAACGATGATTTGTCTGGATTCTTGATAGCCGCGGTCTGTTCGTCAAACGTTCCGTCATTCAAACTGCAACTTCTCTTCGCGGCTGTTCACGCCCACCCAGAGTCTGCGTTGCGCAGTCCGCAATGGCACGTTGAGAGATCCTCAACGCACGCTGTGTGGGCGGAGACGCAGACGGCTCGAGCATCGAGTGGGAATGTTCGCGCGAGAGAACGTGTCTAATCGGCGAAACTGAGCAACTCGCGTTAGGAACTGCGTCAAACGCAGGTGACATCTGCGTCCACTAGCCAAGCCCTCGCGACCAAACTTTCGCCGCGAAACTCTAGCCATTTTAGCAAGCGCGAGCAAGCGTTCACGGTATATGGACATTCAGCACTCAATCGAATATTTGCAACGAATGGAAATCAATGAGGAAATATGTATCGTATTTGCTTTAGGTCGTATTCCTTACTTTTTCTTCAGTGGTGCAATTCTGACAAGCTCTACTTTCATTCCAAGCAAGTGACTGATTTATTGTAATATCGGCATTTAAGCCGTTCTCTTCTACTACTAAGATCAATGGCGCACTTTTCTCAACACTCACTCCTGAAGACAACTCCAACAGGCTGCCAGAAAGATCAATCTCTTGCGATAGTTTACCCTAACCTACACAGATCTGGAACCTATTTGCCTTCCGCATTGCACATGCGGAGATGAAACTGAACATAGAATTTAGAAGAATGATTCCATTATAGCAATCATTTGTAATCCATGGTGCGTTCCGCCAAAGATATTGCCGGTAACATACAGAGCGAGGCTGTTCTACCTCTGAGAATTTCATAGCTTGAAGGAAATGAGAAACATGACTGTCATACGTAGTATTCAATACAGAAATGGCAGTTTAGGGCTCTGCAAAGTGTGCACAATGTCATAGGACTACCACGAAGCAGTGTCAAATTGCAGGGCTTTCACTAACATGGTCTAGCATCAAAACTTATAAGGATAAATCGTTACTAGAGGCCAGTACGGCTTTCAATCTTTCGGGGGTCTGAGCGTGCCGAATGGGCTCACAGTATGGTAACAAACAAAATGATCACGAAACGCAGTGATGCACAGAGAGTATCAAGACCGAAGCTGTGGGGGCATTCATACAGCGCCTATAGTAGGCGACACTAGATCTAAGCCCAGGAGAGGTCAGAAACGCTAAGAAGAACACAAGTTGCTCACCCCCACATCCAAAGATTTTGAATCCCCTTCTCTTACCTTAGGCTTAATCCCAAGCACAATAATTGGCTCGCTTCTTGCGATTCCTGTATTGAAACATTAGCGACGAATCCTGGAGCCGCATTTTCCATGTTGTGTAAGTGATGTCGGTATAGGTCCCTGTTTCTAAAGCTACTTCTTCCCCCGTAGCTGTGATCCCGGACCATGTCGTCATATCGCGTCTATTCATCAAAGGGTAGTCTACTGCATTTATGTTGGGAGAGTTAGTGTGTCATTCCTATGCGACCATATCCGGGATTTTTACTTCACCAACTTTGCAAATATTCGTCTGGTTGTAGACGCTCAGTGCTACGCGAAATCTCCTGTGTTTCCTTAGAAACTACACCTTGCCAGCAGGCATAAAGTGAGGTTGATGGAAATGCAAACTTCTTTGCTATTTTAATGTCCGCAAGAGCCAAAAGTGTGTCAATCTGACGTGTATTCCCTGCAAATACGCATGCATTGGACTGAATGTGCAGAGCCCTCATCTGGTCACGTGCTGTTACGTTGGTTGGCTCGCGCGAACGGCACTCTCTGATACCCGTTAGGCTTCTGTAACGTCTTTTCAGCATCATTTTTCAGCGATCGATTGAATGATAATCAAAAAGGAGGCTATAGTATAATGCAACGTCATCATGCTGGTTTGATAATTTCCAAAAACCGACATCTCTGACAACGCCGTCTGCGCTCTGAATTACATCTTCCTTTGAAATACGGGCCATCGTGGCACAGCTGGACCGGAAGCGTACGGAGCCGCATCTTCGATACCGATGCAATGTGTTGTCTTCGAAGTTCCATTTTTCTCACTCGACTTTGTCTTTATCGCAATCCTTATTGTGCAGAACAAACTCTGAAAGTGTAACGAAAATTGAGATTTCCAAGAATAGAACATCTGTTTTACTGAACCAGGTCACCCTTGTGACGAAAGTCACAACGGGGGGGTCGGTACTGAATTGAGCTTGGGGGGAGGAGGGTCTTATTTTTGTGGCCGGCACTGAAAATCCTTAGTGATGTCCTACGAGTAATGGATAGTGTACGAGGAGAAGAGCAAACGCAGCAAAGAGAAAGTGTTTGTGATCGTTATAGGCAATTATGCAACAGCCTTCTCCCTGCAAGACCGCAGTCATGAAGTGGAAGATTGCAGCTCCTCCTGAAAAAAAGTACTCGCATTGTGACAGCCAGAGACCACATCATGAACATAATGCCTTTAGAGACCGCATGATAGCCGGCCGATAACTTTGTCGCAGATACTGGATACCTAAGCCATCTGTAAACTCACGCTTCCCTCTGAATGAGCTTTCAAATGAATGCAGCGAATTAAGAAGTGGCGCCCGAGGCGTGGCGCGCACCAAGGACCGAAGGATGGTAGTGCCCAAGCGCATGCTCGAGCATTCTAGCACAATCCTAAATTAAACCATGAAATTGTCTTTCGAGATGTTACGGGCAGTGGAACTAAGAAACTCTCTCGGCTTCGAGACAAGGGCTCTCAAAAAATACCCCTCAAATTTGACGGTTAGCACGGGAACTAACATTGAACCCTGATTTTTTCAGGAACGCTTGGTACTCGTTAAGAAAGCTTGAAATCCTGGAGTGTGTTTATAACGGCGTTCAACTTCCTAAATGAATTGACTTTAAAGGAAGTTTAGAACGTTTGAAGGTAAAAAAGTCGGGTTTCAAAGCAGTGTTACACCACCCTATTATGGTTACAGACGGGACTAAATTTTGCAACTACTGATTTGCAGGACGTTTGGTGACCCGTTAGAAGCTTGAATCGCTGGAAGTGTGTTAAGTCGCGTGTCAGCTTCCTAAATGAATGACCTTGAAGAAGTTATGATCGTTTGAAAAGCAAAAAAGTCGGTTTGCACCAGCAGAAAGTCACAACGCCAAAATTTTTAATAAATAACTTTCGAAGAATTTTATACCCAGATTGGCTAGAGAATAATTTGGAATTTTTTTAATCAATCACTATGGCGTGAAAAAGCCGAACATGAAGGAATGTATATAGCCCTAGAAAGAGGAGTGTAAAAAGTTCTCTGGCAATCTAATTTTTTTGGCTATATACTTTTTCATTGTGATAGGTTGAGAAAACATGGGCAGCTTCCTTGAGAAGGATGAAACGCCACGCTGATCCCACATCCCCGATTTCTTCCGGACTACCTGAAATTAAACAAAAAAAACTCGCTAACTTTTCACATTCCCGTCATCGACGGTCTCCTCAACTTGAGCAGATGCGCTCCACCGTCCCGCAAGGCAAAAGGGCGCCAACACAGCAAATTTGTAAATCACATCCGCATGATGAAAGAGCATGTTCGTCTGAAGCTTATTTGTCTTTTACAATCTTCGGAAGCAGTTTGCACACATCTTCAAGGCAAAAACATTTATTGATAGATGACTATTTTGGCGAAGGTTTTCAATTCACGGCGTCCCACAATGTGTTAAGGCAAACTGATTCAGTTTGGCGATCTCTAGTTAGTTAAACCCTCGGTACCTTCGGTACCTTCGAGTGGCATCTCATTATTCGCAAGCTGGTTTTGAACTCGCAGTAGGCAATAAATATTAAGGTCAAATCTGTCTTACACAAGTCGTATCCGTACAAGGGGGGGTCGTATCCAAATCAACCCATGAGGGGGGGGGTGTCGTAAACCATTTTCGGAAGAGCTCACAACGAGTAGGGTTTGACCAAGGGTCTGCTTTGGAAACTCGGCCACACTGCAAACAGGCCTGTTTTTTGTCGGCTGCACGAGAAGGCCGACCTACAAACGAAATTATAACTTCCCCTTATTGCACTGAGACGGAGTTGGGGTAAAATGCAGTACATATTTAGCTACTGTTACTTTAGCAGTTACTTAATGGTTACATGGATTTATTCATTTATTTATTCATTTGTTTATAACGTAAGACAAACGCAAGACATATGAAATCATACAACTCACGACCGTAGTTAACGATAGTTCAGTAAATGTTAAAGCTCACTAAAGCTCAACAGCTGCTTCTTACTTAGATCACTCACTTTTCCAACGTGAATGCGTTAAATAGAGTCCCACTGTTGGGTTCTGCAGATTAATGTGTGCTCGCGGATCTTCTTCAATTTTCTTTTCTTCGGAAAAAAGCTGACAACAACGAAGAACTTCTTGAGAACTGGGAAGTATTTTCAAACGAAGCGGATGTGGAACCACTCACTGTCGTTACCAAAATTTCAGGGGTTTTTGATCGTTTTCGCAGCAATATGGTTTCGTTTGCAAATTAGGCCAACAATGTTATCGCTGTATTAATTCGAATCCGGTTGACTGATGTACGTCTAAAAAGCCGAGGTCCTGACCCTTTAAAGCCGTTCAGGAATCACTATTCTCTATAAGCTTTTCTGAGGAGTCCGAAACAGGGCCAACCGTTAGTTCACAAGATTCAAGCGAGCTCACATATGTTGTTTTGGGAAGGGAGGAGTTCGCATCTTGTGGGTGTGAAAAGTTGACTATTATATATTGGGAAAAGTGGGAATGAGGGGTTGCCATTTTT